GTTTATGCAGCTTCTGAGAACACTGTTAGTCAAGTGATCATTCAAAGGGGTAAAAATTGCTTCACGGAACCGATATTTTGTAACATCTTATGCGGGAATTTTTAACAAATGTCTTCGACAAAATGACGGCCGCAGAATTTGAACAATTTAGGCGGGAATATCTTAACCGGGTTTTACTGCATGATGCTGTCCATAAATTACGTCCGAATTTTTCTTGAAATCCCCTTTCTCTGTTTGTCCAAGTTTCCGTGATCCCCTCCCCTATTCCCGAACATTCAACAAAACTCAACCTCCCTTAATTAAACCTCCCTTTATAACTTTATGTACGATACATACCATAAGTAGGAACGAACAAGAAACTGAAATAAGTATAATAAAATGCAAAAACTATAAAATTTATGGAAATAAACGGACGTTCACTGAAGCTCAACCCTTTCCCTCCCCCTTCCAGTATGGACGTCATTTATGGACAGCCCCTATAATGTCATTTTGGAGTCGCTGCGAATGTGCGTTAAATTTAAAACATCCGTGCACACTTTTCTGAACACACTAGTTTAAAGTTTCTCAAGCGTGACATTTAAGCAGCCTGCGATACAAATGAGACAATGTGGACATAAAACGTATGATCATCATGTATGAATATCTTGTATTCTATATACTGTATATATACAAAGTTTATAAGTTTTTAATTTAAAAATAAATTTACAAGATAAGTAAAATAATATTTGTACATATCATTTATGCGATTAATGCGTCATTCTACTGCTCTGGAGATCTGGAATCGAATTCGGGGTGGTATATTTCGGATATGTCAGACCCGTTTCACTACACGGCCATCCCCATTAGACCTAGCTGAGCCTATAATTAGCTTGATAAAAATGGCCACAGGACGAAGAAAGTTAAAAAAAAGTAAAAAGGTTAAAATGTATATGATTTTTAAGGAAATAATATTTACTTAAATTATTTTATAGAATATTTTTGGCGATTTTTAAGGAAATAATATTTCATTTAAAATCGCCAAAAGTGATTTATAAAGTAATTTGGCATTTTAGTAAACACGCCATCTTTCGGTCATTTCATTAGATGTTAGGTTCGAATTGGGAGGTGTTGGTTTTCAATGTGATATCAATTGAATTATTTATCGGCTATGATTGAATTCAAGTATTTGATCTTTGCGGTAATAGCCATTCTAGCGGTTGGCAAAGGTGTTTACGGTAAGTTATAATATTGTAAGATATTATTCATGGATATTGTAAAACTCATTTAATACTTGTTGCTTGATCAAATATTACGAATAAACCTCATCGTGTGTTGTCTAGAATAATATAAATAATTACCCTAAAGACATAACTGTATTATTGACAGCAGCTTCAGTTGTAAGATGAAATAGATTTATTTGTGTACGGCAATGCGACACGTGGGTGATCTGCCGAGGGGGATGCCTCACGAGGTCTTTTATGGGAAACTGGCCCCTATTTAGGTGTTATTAACGTAATAAAAAAATTAGGAAAACTCCACGTGGGCCGGCGCCAACCCACGACCGACTACCGGCGTTGGGTGGTTTTTACCCACTCGGCCACTGGTGAAATGTAAACGAAGTCGATTTTCTGTTGCTATAAACAGAATCACTTGCTTCAATTATCTATCCACAACAAAATAAATATTTCTGACTATAGAAAAGCAAGTTTTTTCGTTATATACTGTTCTAAATAGTGATTATAATTAGAAATGAATATATTTAGCAGTGTATAAAGAAACTTCAACGATACACTTAGTAAGCTAATTTATTTAAAAGTAAATTAAACATTCACAGAATTACTATGGTATATACCACTACTGTAATAAGGGCCTGATTTGTATCCACATGCACGGCTTTTTTCCTTAAATGATATGATAAAACTTTAATATAAGGACAATTTGGGTCCAAACAGATCAAATTAAGGCTGTCCAATAATGCATATAAAATATGTTTACAACTTTTACTGGATATTTGCAGATTTCACTACTTATGGGACTACTAAATAAGTGTTTTATAAAGTTCATAACTTGTTTGCATGATTGCAAGTGCTAATTTTTTTCAATTGATAAACAGTCTATTTTGCTATCTGTGCAGTGAATCTTTTTTGTGCTTATGTACAGGGGTGAGAAATAACACTCTATCATCCAATTAAAGATGAATGCACAAATTTCAAATGACAATTTCAACAAATTCTCAAAATAATTGAATTAATTGGTTTAAAATTATTGTAAGTGTTATTATATTAATTTAATAATGTTAAATTTAAATCTTTTAAAAATGGTGTAAATATAATGCTTAATTAAATATAAATGAGATAATTTCTTATGAGCAAAGTAGTTAAATTTCTGTATAACTTATGGAACATGTGCAGAAATTTTTGCATTTATTTTAATATGTTCTAATGTATTTTTAGCTCTTTTTTTTATTTGTTTAGTTTATAGTCATGGGTATTGTTATGTGGAGGTGAAAATCTTTTGTCTTACTCAGATTTTTCCAATTGTAATTAAAATAAATTAATAAGATTCTGTTATAATGAGTTCGGTTCTACCAAATTCTACCAACAATATAGATGAAGTGGTCAAAACTAATATCAAATTGCTAAGAAACAATGTACAGGTGTTTGGATCCTACACATTTAAAATAGATGGAAAATTCTTTATTGTAATATATGCCAGAAATCATTTCCTCCTTATATAAACCAAAAAAATAAAGGTGTCAATCTTAGCACTTTAAAATGTCCTTTCATCTGTGCAACATGAGGTATTAAAATGAGCCAAAACAGCAATTGATAACAAGTAAATTCAATATGCACTGAAACTAAATTTAGTAGAGTTCATGATACCATATTTTTGCAGAATGACTGACGTGTGTCACATATAAACGGGAGACCAGCATGCCAGAAACCCCAGGGTTACCGGCATGCCAGTTAAACTCAACTAAAATATAAAATTAATTAGATCTGACAAAACTAGTTATTATTTAAATGTTAAATAAAACATTCTTCCCAGTACAATAAAATAATAACATTGTAATTTGACTGACAAAATCAGGAAGAGAGTTTTTGTTTAAAGACAATAAAACAATTAAATTATTTTAAATTAAATTATTGACATTATTAGTAGTAACAGTTAGTCAGTATGGGCTACACTGACCATTTACCCTGACCTTAAAAAGAACATCTTAAATTTAATATATATATTTTTTGCAATTTTGAATCAAATAACAATAAAATACACATAAAGAAAGTACTTTCGGAATTCCAAGTGTATTTTACATTGTTAGAAAGAGGACAAAATGAAGAAATTAAACATATAATTGTAGTTTTTGATGTAATGCTTGCAGTTTCACAGTTTTAGAATAAAAACTCGTTAAACTCGTTCATTCTTTATTTTAATAAACCCACTAGAGAGGGATGTATAGCCTTGCTTAAACTGGTATGCTGGTCATTCTGCGAAAATACGGTAGCAGTTTGGAACAAAACATTACTGTCGACTTGAACAATAAATCTAAATTAGTTAATAATTTAATAAGAATCTTTACCCATTTCTTACGATTATAGGGCTATAAACAAAAATATGTGATTATTTTAGAGAAGTGACATAACTATAGGATAAGAGAAACTAGGTTAACCCGGTAATCAAACATATTGTAAACAATTGTATATATAAAAATAAATTCAATAATGATTGATTAGCTAGTGTAGAAAGTTATAAAAATTTTTATGAACATGTAAATTTTATTCTTAATTGACTCTATAGCACATGTACATGAAACATTGTAATACTTGTTTTGTGATATCATAATTTCCAATTTCCTTGTCACCTATTGCCATAAGTTTATTCTTCCTACCTAAATCTATCCATCCTTTTAGCATGATGTGATAGACATTACTAAAATACACATACATTGTAATTTTAAGTGCATATAAATTAAACCCTTATTTATGCTAGATAAGTCAATAAACTCACTTTACTGGTGTTAAAGATAACAAGTAAACACTTAATAAATTTGTGATTTTTGACAAATAAACAATCTGCTATAAGTAATAGATATGTATATATCCATGGTGCGGTTTTCTTTATATTCTTTTTAAAAAATCAATTTTTAAAAAATATTTCCTCAAAATTGATGAAACTTTATGGGTTAATTGTACAGAAATAACCACCGTTTTTTTGCCTGGACTGCATTTAATCAGAGACAAAAGCTTTTATTCGTATTATTTATTTATTTATTTACTATGCATTTCAGGTGCAATATTTTCGTGTAATTTGCACCCCTCTTCAGGTTTTTTACATTTCTATAAATTGGTAAATTCAATTTACCGTTGTAATAATTGAATTTACCAATTTATAGAAATGTAAAAAACCTGAAGATGGGTGCAAATTACACGAAAATATTGCACCCGAAATGCATAGTAAATAAATAAATAATATGAATAAAAGCTTTTGTCTCTGATTAAATGCGGTCCAGGCAAAAAAACGGTGGTTATTTCTGTACAATTAACCCATAAAGTTTCATCAATTTTGAGGAAATATTTTTGAAAAATTGATTTTTTAAAACAAATAAACAATGTTGTCTTCAGGAAACAAATATAAAACAATTTTAGAAAATAAAATGTTTTGTAAATGAATGCTTTAAAATTATTGTTTTTGATTTTACATAGAATGCAAGATTTTCAGTTTTAAGTGTTCTTTCCCAAAAAGGTTTATTTGTTCTACAATTGTTTCCTTAAGACAACATTTTTGTTTGTGTCAAAAACAGTCAACCTACTGCTATAGGAGACTCAGGATTGAATCCAGACAATCTGTCCTGGATGTGTCAGGTCTGTCCCTCATCACTCATCCACCCTTATAAAAAGCAATTTTTAGTTAATATAATATTTAAAACTAATTTTTAGCATTGTTCAAATTTTTATCAAAATTAAGATTCATTTTATCCAAAAGTAAATATTATTTGACAATTTAAAATGTTTTTACTATAGCAAATGGAGAAGATATAATTGATATTATGGATGGTGATGAAGAAGAGGTTCAAGTAGAAATGGAAAACATTCCAGTATCAGAAGAACCAGATATTATTGAAAATGCTGTAGTTGAAAAGGTTGAAAATATTCTATTTTATTATTTTAAGAAAATAGATAATTTTAAATATAAATTTATTAATGCAGTAGTCTCCCTTATTCATGGAAAATAAGTTCCAATACCAGTAGATGTATGAAACTGTAAAAGATATTGAATCTTATATACTGTGTACTAAATTTTTTTTATACATGCTTATCTAGGATAAAGTTTAATTTATAAATTAGTCACAGTAAGAAATTAACAACAATAACTAATAGTAAAATAGAAAAATTATAACCATGCCTCAGCATAAGTATTTTCTTTCTTTAAGTTGAAAATTTTTACCTTTTCACTTAAAGGAAGTACCTTCCAGCTTCTCTTTGGCACATCCAAATTGCCTGCATCACTACTCTTGTAGTTTGAGGTCATTAATAAGTAAAATAAGGGTTATTTGAATACAGCACTGCAGTATTGCAATAATCAATCTGATAGTTGAGACAGTTACTAAGAGACTAATGGATGATTAGTGCATAAGTGTGGATATGCCAAACAAAAAGATTATTCACATTCCTAGAAAGATAGTGCAAGATTACAATGTTTTACTCAAAACAATGTGCAATTTAGAACTTGCATATTGTTTATTTCTGAATTTTTAAAAATATTTTTGTATTGTGGTCAACCACAATACAAAAATATTTTTACCATGGGTAAGGAGACTACTATAAGTTTTTCTAGTATATAAATGTGAATTATGTTTTTCAGGTGTCATAATGAAATAAATTTTTCCAAATAAAACAATGAAATTTATTATTTTCATTGAATATGCTTATTATTTTGATATACATAGTAAAAGTTTATTATTTTTATGTACATAGTAAAAGCATAGTAAAAGATTTAAGCTTTAATTAGCCAGCATCAGAGTTATAAATAAAATCAGGCTATTAATTATAGACAAGATGAGACTGACTGTATAGTCTGTGGAGTACTAATGTCTTGCATCAACAGAATCTAATCAAATAACCAATGTCCATAAATTAAATTTAATTAACAAATATAAATTAAATGATTAAAATGGCAATGCCTTAAGTTGTTGTTATAGGATTCATTTTGTTTCTAACTTTATTTGCATGTATATTTGAAGATATTTACAATATAATCTTTGTTAAAATAATCTATTTTTTGTTATTTATTGTTTAACTCTTTTTTTTTATTTATCTTTATTAAATGATTTTATTTCATCAATTATATATAATTTTATACAGGAAGAAACTGATGATGAAGAAGAAAGAACTTTACTGTCATCACCAGATGCTGATACTTATTTCTTGTTCACAAAGCCATCTGGCTCTTCCTTAGGTAAATTTTTTAAAAGAATTGAATTCTTTATTTGCATTGCATTATTTAAAATTTTATGATATATATTAACTGTTTCTCTTTATTTTGTTTTTTAAAATGTTTTAAGTTTCAAAGTTTAAAAAATATTGTCTTTTATACCTTTGTCTTTTGATACTACACTATCTCTTTTCTAGAGACAAATAAAACTGAATAATGTATGTTTTCATTTAAATTTATTTTTCATATTACTTATATTAGAATAAAAAATGATAAGAATTTTTTACCAACACAATATTACATGAATTAGTGGAGAATTTCATTTCTGATACAAAAATATAATTTGCATAAATTTTCAAATAAAATTCTGTGCACTTATTAGTAACAAATTATTCTATTTTGTAAAATTAATACATTTTTTTTTTAATAAGAAAAACATTTAAAAATTTATGTATACATTATCTGAAAATAATCAGTGTTAATGTTTATTTGAAGACTGATTTATTTACAGAAAATATTAAGATAAATATTTAGTATTAATATTTTGAAAAATATTAAAACATTGATTTATATTTTTTAATCAATCAAATATATTTATTCATAATAAGGAGTCCTTGTTACAGGGGGTAATGATTTAGATATAAACAATACAAATAATAAGTAAATATAAATTAGTTATTTATATAAAAATAATTAATTAAACACAATTTATTTCTTATGTTGATTATTCAAATCATTAATAATTTGGTTAAAGAAATTAACAATTTTATACATATCTATTTTCGTTAAATTGCCCAGTTTAATTCTATAATCAAATTCGTTATTTGTAGAAAATATTCTCAGTGTCTGAAATCTTTGATGATATTTTTTCAACGCAGTACAGTCTCTAATTATATGAAATGCAGAAAAGTNATTTAAATAAGATATTGATTATGGATTCTTGCATGTAAAAACATCCATTTTTCACATTTGTTTTATATTTGTGTGTGAATTGAAATATATGTATCATTATGATATGTATATTTTTTTACTATGAAAAAAAATACATGCTGATAAAATTTGAATTATTACTGTTGGAAAATAATAATTATACAGAAGGCACATTTAAAAAATGGATGTTTAATAAGTATCAATTTATTAATCTTAAACTGTTGAGTAATATTATGACTAGAGAAGTGAAAGTATGTGCTAGATGATTTGTTTATTCTTACAGTTTTGTTTACATTAAAATTTGCTTTTGTCCTGTGGGAAACCAGTCTAAAGCAAGTCAAAAAAGATTTTGCTACCTGAGAGAAACAGTTTGTATTTCTATTTTTTACAATATTGTGCCAAGATCTATTCATTTTGAAGGTTGAAATGAAAGTGATCTGTTTGTTAGAACTGTGATACTCTTCTAATAGAAAGTTAGTTGATTTGAATGCCAATGTGAGTCATTAGTATATTAAGTCTGTGTTAGGTCGAGACTCCACTGGCATAAAAACCTTTGATGTAAAAACTTTTAATCACATAACTTGTTTGCGTCTGGATTGCAGTGGAGGTCCGGCTAGCGAAGTTTTTACAGCGATGGTGGTGCCCCAAGTGTCAAAAGTAAATACTTCTTCGCACGTGACTTGGTGGAAATGGAGCGTTGTAGCTTGATTGTTCATAATTGTCAGAGTTCATAAAATGTTTTAGGCATCTATTTTTATAGTCAGGATGTCTCTTGTCATATAAACATAAATATTTTCGATAAATTTTTCTAAATCTATTTGAGGTCTTTTTGAAGTAGTCATGATAGAACATACACAAAAGCTCGTTTTCCACAATTTTTGCACAATGTCATGATGACGTAGTTCCACTGACTTCTGATTGATTGAAGGTACCATTTTACAGCTGTATTCACATTGAAAGTTGAACTCTGCTCAACTAGCTTTTACACTGGTTTTATGATCTGCTCAGGTGTAAAATATCATGGTTACATGATTAAAAGTATTTACGGCAATACGGCAAGTATTTTTTATGCTAATGGAGTCTCGGCCTTAGTTAATTATAATTTTTTACAGTAATTTATTACAGGCAAGTCAGATCTTTAGTGGAATTGGTTAATTTGGTTAACAGTGGGATATTTCAACTATATTTTTTACTATATTGAAGTAAATTATGAGAGTTTTAGTCAGATTCAAGAATAAATTGCTGTAAAGAAAGCTGATAATTTATAACAAAACCCACCTGATCAACTTCTGGTAAAAGAAACTAAACCATTTGTCTGGAAATTATTATCCATAAAGTATATTTAAATTGCATGGTATTTATGATATATTAAAAATCCAAATGTAATTTCTGAATGTGAATGAATTATCTTAAGACACTTGACCAAAATATTATCAATCTGGTTTATTTTTGTTTAAGTTAAAATCATTAATGTAACCTTCAAAATTATCAGGTTATTTAAGTTGTTTACAAAACTAGCAAAATGCAATTTCAAAAATACATTAACAAGACTGCTATGTGAAGATTTTACAATAAGTTGTCGACAATTTGAAAATAACCAAAACAGATTTTTTTATATTCAATTTCATTTTATTTTTTAACTTTCTTCCACAATCCCGTTTAATATTTATTTTTTATTTATGTATGAAAATGTGAGTATTAGCTAATTGACAGCTTAAAAATGTCTGTTTATCAGAAAATGATAACTATAAGTGAAACTGATTATAATAAGCAACATTTTATAAGTGTATTTTAACTTACAAGCCATTTTCTATAACATTACATAACTGATAAAAATATTTGTGATTACCATAAGTGGATTCTACTGTGTGTGTGTGTGCGCGAAAGTGTAGGTAGTTATATTTTATCAAATCAAATTAATATTGCATTCAAGAAATTGTTTATTTTTATTTGAAAAACTTTTCCTAAAAATTGATGACCATTCTTTTTATATGGGCTATTTTATGGGAAAATCCACAACTGAATAACATTATTAATAAGAAAAAACATTATCAATTCTAGTTTTATAAGAGAAAACATTGCTATTTTAATTGAACTAATTGTATTTTTATTTTTTTTATTACAGATTTTATATATAAAATTTGAAATTATGTATAGTCATAGATTATTTCTGATAACTGATTAATTTAAATTTTTTAAATTGATAAAGATTTATTTTTATGCTAATATTTGATTATGTGCTAGTTTTAAAATGAGCTTTGGGTCTCTGATATTCTTACAACTTTTTGAATTGGTGTTTTCATTTTCCATTTCTTTCTTATTGCGATTCTTTGGGAATCTTCTTGTTGCACTTTTTTAGAGATTATCTGTATTTCTTGCTGGTATTATGACATTTCTTAAGGATAAAACTGTGCTGTTCCTTCTACTTCATCTGAAGAATTCCTGTTACTCTGCACTCATATTCTAAAAAAAAATACTTAAATAAAAATGAAATTTTTAATGTATTTCATCTGAAAATTGCAGATAACTCCAAAGAAGATCATAAGTAGGTAACAGAATTGAAATATGTAAGTATATTAATACAAAAATGATCTTACTGAGAAATTAAACTTTAAATATAATTTTTAGTGAAATTTGAAATGTAAAGACTTTTTCTGATTAAAACATTATGATCATTTAAATAAGTTTTTATGAAATTCTAAATATCTAATTAATTTTTAAAAATTATCTTCATTAATGAATAGAAAGTTTTTAAAAAATCAAAGATTTTTGTAAAATCTTTGTTAGCTGATAATGGATATAGAATCAGATTCATGCAATTAGCTTATGAAATATCTCAAATTTTTTGCATTATTGTATATATATAAAATAAATTTTTTCTAAATTCTTTCATTTTTGAATTTATTTTGATCAGTTAATATCTGAAAAATTTAACATATGCTGAATTGTAATTAAGTCTAGTTATAATCTTAAAAAGATTTTTTCATTAACTTAACAATAAATATTTGTTTAGCTCCATTAAAATTTATTTTGATTGATACAATAATAGTTTATTTAAAACAAAAAAATATCAAACATTTGTGTTTAATTATATATTTTTTATTATAACAAAGTATTTTGGTTTAATGAAAAGAATATAACAATCACTGATGTTCTTAAAAATATATCATTTTGAATTATAATAAATTTGTTATAAAAAGATGCTGTTTTTCCTCCTTTTCCTTTTTGAACCAGGAACCACAAAAGGATTATTTTTCTGAAATGCATTTTGTAAAGAGTAGTACCAAGGGGAATAAAGTAATCTGGCAAAACAATCACTATACAGCTCCTGGTTCACCTTTTTATAGTATATTGTTTTAAACTAGTTCATAACTACAGAATTTAGTTTGATTTCTTTAAAATTTCAAACAATGAAAATTTATTGCATTAAGATAATTTCCTTCTTAAAAGACATCAAGTAAGATTCTTTTTAAGATGAAATTAGTCTTGAAGAATTTTTCACAGTTCCGTAATTTTCTTCCATTACTTGTACTAAATTTTTGAATGTGTAATAATAAACTTTAACAATATGAGAATTAAAATTTTATAATTGATATTATGAATACATTTTAAACTGTTTTACATATTTGTGCAGAGGCATAGCCTCTAAAGAAAGGTTGTCTCTGCAATGGAAATAGTTGTTCCTGGTGATTGGACGTGGCAAGCAAAATTGGACTCGTATCCAGATGTATTTTACTCTTTATTAAATAGTAATTCTGCCAGCCCTTTTCTACAAAGAAATATTATATTTTTAATTGTGTTGGGATTGTCACCTGTGGACATTTTAAACTGTTTTACATATTTGTGCAGAGGCATAGCCTCTAAAGAAAGGTTGTCTCTGCAATGGAAATAGTTGTTCCTGGTGATTGGACATGGCAAGCAAAATTGGACTCGTATCCAGATGTATTTTACTCTTTATTAAATAGTAATTCTGCCAGCCCTTTTCTACAAAGAAATATTATATTTTTAATTGTGTTGGGATTGTCACCTGTGGACATTTTAAACTGTTTTACATATTTGTGCAGAGGCATAGCCTAGAAAGGTTGTCTCTGCAATGGAAATAGTTGTTCCTGGTGATTGGACGTGGCAAGCAAAATTGGACTCGTATCCAGATGTATTTTACTCTTTATTAAATAGTAATTCTGCCAGCCCTTTTCTACAAAGAAATATTATATTTTTAATTGTGTTGGGATTGTCACCTGTGGACATTTTAAACTGTTTTACATATTTGTGCAGAGGCATAGCCTCTAAAGAAAGGTTGTCTCTGCAATGGAAATAGTTGTTCCTGGTGATTGGACATGGCAAGCAAAATTGGACTCGTATCCAGATGTATTTTACTCTTTATTAAATTATGAATACAGTTAATAAAAATTATTTTAGCACACAAAAAAAATTTATTAATTTTCAATTGTTTAAAATAGAGCACTTTCAATTCTGCAATGCTTAGATTTTTAATTAGAATTTTGCTTCATTAATTTTTAAATAATGAAATGAATTGCCACAAAATTATTTATATGACATTCTAATGATTTCTTGACATGAATTAAATTGTTTTTTCATATTTTCTTTAAGTACAAATGTATTTGATAACATGTCTAGAATTGTTTCTTAGTTAAAAATTTAACAGTTATCATTAATTTTATGAATGTTTTATTTATAACATATGCCTTTAATCATTATTTATTTCACTTTGATATGATAAACCATCATGGTATTGAGCAATAATAATGTTGTTAAGAGAGAATAAAATTATTGTTTTCTTAGTTCTTTGGATATAGAAACTAAATTTCATTTTATCTTTTAATTAATATTGATCTTGCTATAAAGTGAAAAAGAAAATTGTAGTTTTATATCACATAGATTATTGTTTTTAATATACAGTAATACCCCAAACTTACGCGATAGGTGGGACCGAGCGATAACTGCGTAAGTCGAATTTGCGTAAGTTGGGGTATAATTTCGCAATTTGTGTAAAATCCAAATCGGATGTATGTAAGCTAATAAATGTTCTCGTTAATCTTATCTCCTCTTTTGATTCATTCACGGTTACAAGAAATCACCACATAGAGTCTCTCAAGTCTCTGTAGATATAACAAACAGAAATAAATAAGACAAAATAAATTGTAGCTATGTGTTGATTCTGCACGGCAGTCCGAACATGTAAGCTAAACAATAGTGTGGGGGGGAGTGAGTAATCAAGAGTTGCATGGCGCTCAAACAAAAGATGAATCGATGAGATTTGAAAATTGCATAACTGGGTTTGCGTAAGTCGAGGTATTACTGTACAGTAAAAAACTATACCAGATATTTGTCATACAGCTATGTTCATTTTTATACTTATTATTAAGAAGTTTAATCCAAATTAAAGTGATTCAAACTAAAGATGCAGGTATTTTAATGCAAGAATTGATGGCTATTTAATTTGGAAAAAGTTCTCATTGTTTCTAAGAGCTTATGCTAGGTTGAATTCTCCTTGCATTTGATCCTTATAAGCTCACATGAAACAAACAAGCCAATTCAAGAACCAAGAATTAATGTTTCACTTTGCTGTCAGAAATTTTAATCACATTATAGTCATGAGACAACTATTCTGTGATAAGACATCTTGAGAAATTCTAATACTGTAATTATCAACAGTGTTAATCATCTTGTTCTTGAATACTTGGTATTAGGTAGTCACTAACCACTACATACAACACAAGTTAACAGTACTATCTTATTTTAGTCTCATTTTCAATGAGTGCTTCCATTGCTTGTACTGGAAATTTGGTTCTTGAAAACTTGTTTGATTTTGCTTCTGGGTAATAACAATAAAGACAAATAGTAACCGAGACTGTCAGTAAGTCCCATCTCACATAATATTTGTTTTTCTGAAAAAATTCAGAATTGTTTTTGCAATATACTTTGTTATGCTTCTTGATGACTGTTATACCTAGAGACAAGTTTACAAGTGGAATCTTAATTTTCCACTTCATTCAGTTTGTTATGTTGTTCTGCCAAAAAATTCTTTTGTTTTTATGTTAAAGAGGCTTCTGGCTTATAGTAAAATTTAACATAGAAAATCACTGTTTTGAAGTCCTCCATTTATTTATATAGGTTTTATTGTACTTTATTTCTTATTTAGAATAAAATAGATGTTTTATTTATATATACATATACAAGTATAGTNATTATTTTATCTGCTTTGAAATCTCTCAAAGACTCTTCTAATATACTTATACAGAGAAATTTACCTGAACAGAAGATTTTAACAAATAAGTGAAAATAAAGGTTATTTTAAAGCATATAGTTTATTATTTTCATAAAATTATTTCAGTTTAAAAATCTAATAAGGTTACTTAATTTATTCACTGAAATATTTTATGATGACATATTTTACAGGAATAATAACGTTAATAAATAAAATGATGATAATAAATTATTTTAATGACTAAATATTTTAGAATATTGTTAGAAATATGACTAGGAAGAAAATTACAAGGAGTATCTCTGATGTGACAGAAAAAAAATTGAACAGTAGATCAAAACCGTTTTATTTACAAAATTTAGATATATTTTTTCAGCTACTCTTCTATATGATTACTGTTTTGATTTAAGCATTTACATTTTCATGGCACCAGCTTTTCTATACTCTCATCAAAGAAGCCTTGTCCTCAGCCAACTCTTCATGCTAGTCTTCAACATCTTGAAACCACTACATTCCTAACTACCACTTCATATGAGTGAACAGGTAGAAATCACTCTGTGCTAAGTTTGGGTTTATGGCAGATGATCAAGCACTTTCCATTTGAACTTCTGAAAGAGTTCCCATGTTTACTGCAGTGTTGCATGTTTACTACAGAGTTCCCATGTCTCACAGTATGTGGTTGCAGTGACAGTCATGTATTGTGATGGAACTCTTCTAGAAGTTCAAATGGGAAGTGTTTGATCATCCATTGTAGAGCCCAGACTTTAGCATAAAGTAATTTCCATCTATTCACTCACATGAATTGATGGTTAGGAGGGCAGCAATTCCAAACTAACAAGGAGTTGAAGGCCAGCATAAAGGGTTGGCTGAGCAACCAGGTGGCAATCTTTTTCAATGAGGGCATAGAAAAGCTGGTGCCAAAGTATGATAATGCTGAAATTGAAACAGTGATTACAAATTTTAGCTTGTTTTAGTGATTACAAAAGAAAAGTAGATGGAAAGTGTATCTGACTTTTGTAAATAACAATGAAGATCAAAACTGTTTTCATTTTTTTTCTTGGCATATCAGAGGTTGAAAAAAAACCATCATAAATATTTTGCTGATTTGATTCATAATATTTTTGAAATTTAATACAATAATATAACTAAGAAATGTACATTGCATACTATGAATAGCATAGAAATTTGATTTATTGATTTGGCATTACATTTTAAATGGTTATTATAGTTGTCATTTATGATCAGTTTTTTTTTTTTTTTTTTTGTGATTGACAAGTTGAAGAAGAAAGATACATAGCTATGATAACAATTTAAAAATGTGCTAAAGAACAACTACTGTCTGTAAATTTGAATCTTTGAGCTATATATATTATTATTATAGTGTTATAGTGTTTGAAAGAACAATTTGAATCTTTGAGCATTTGAAAATGAAGTTAAAAACTCAAATCAATGAATATGCAAAACTTTATCTATATTTTATCTGTAGTTGTAATAACTTTTATTTTTCAAAATAAAATAATATCTGTGCATCAAATAAGTAGTATAGCCAGTGATTGTCATTCAAATTCATTTTTAAGCAAATTTATTTACAGGGTGTCCAAAATGTTACTGTGCATTGAGAAATTTGTAGTGACATTAAAGTTATACATACAGTATTACATGTGAGACCTGTAAGTTATGTCTTGCATTTCCATTTTGTGGTAGATGATGTTGCTACTTTGGAAGATTTCTTTGTTGATCGTATAATCTTCCATGGAATCTGACCTGCTATGTTTCCAGATCTCATTTCCAGATTTTGAGGCATTTGGGGACATTTCCAGTATTTGCTGTAAGAGAAACTGTAATGTTGTATGTAAGATTTTACTTAAACCATTTTCAGCACTTAGTAACTTTTCAGACATCCTGTAGAAGTTATTATATTGTTACTTGAAAACAATATATCAAAAACATCCTACTGTACTTAGCATAACTTTTTAAATATTCTTAAAGACATATCTAAAACACATTTTCATGTGAAATTTTAGCATCTATAATCTGCATATGTAAATAATGTATTTTATTTTTAATATTTTATGAAAATTTTTTAAAAATTAATAATATTAAAATCTTAAAATTTTAAAAACTATTTTAGAGATACCTGCTGGAAAAGATGTTCAGTTTTTGGTTGGATTTACTAATAAAGGAGTAAAAGATTTTGTTGTAGAAACAATGGATGCATCATTTCGTTATCCAGTAGATTTCAGTTTTTATATTCAGAATGTAAGTAACATTTTATAAACTAAAACTCTTCTCACAGAATTCATGTTAGAAGTTTCTTATGTTTAATAATAATACTTATAAAAACCAACAGATAGAAACATGTGAATAAATATAGAGAAATATAAGTAAATGATCAATAATAATAATATTAGGTTTTCACAATTTTACATAATAATAATAATTATTTTATCTGCTTTGAAATCTCTCAAAGACTCTTCTAATATACTTATACAGAGAAATTTACCTGAACAGAAGATTTTAACAAATAAGTGAAAATAAAGGTTATTTTAAAGCATATAGTTTATTATTTTCATAAACTATTTTAAATTTGTAAGTGGCTTCCGTTTATAAATAAATCGAAATTCTAAATTGCATTTTTAAAAACTAGTAAGTAAATTTTTATAAATAATTACAAGTACATATTTTACAAATAGTGATTACTGAAATCTGAATATTAGGAGTGTGAGGATAAATTGGAATATTGAAGAATAGGATATTTTAACATGTAAGTGTTCAAACACAATATCAAATGCCATTGGTAATCAATATATTTCTAGTATTCTTTAGTGTAATATTGGTCACTATTAAGTATAAATTAATTATATTTGTAAAGTATATTTTGCGACAAATTGTTAAGATAGAGAATGAAGAATATAAGTATTGTTATGATTAAAGCAAGCATTTTTATTCAACTGGATTGATTATTTTATTATTTTTCAATGATTTTCAAGACAACAAATCAAACAGGAAGGTCTAAAAGTTAAAAATTATTAAAGAAATATTTTCTTTGTTAACTGTTCCAATTTTTAATACGTAGAATATTGAATATTTTTGCTATTTTATATCAGTTTAGTTGAATAACTTGTTTTCAATTATTAGTACAGTCAAAAAATTATGATTTTAATACACAGCCTTTTTAAAGTATCTTCTGGATTCATCCTCAGATATGGTGTAAATGTTTTAAATTACTAAAATTCCTCTACCATTTTAATACAAAACAAAACTCTTTCAGTTTGTGAAAGAATTTTGAAAGGAATAGACTATAAACTGTGTTTATAGTCTATTCCTTTCAAAATTTTTTATAAACTGTGTTTATAGTCTATTAAAATTGTCAGCCAATTTTTTATTTGTTTCTAAAAGTTATATTTGTAAATGTCCAATTCATTAATCAATACTTTGCATTTTTAATTTATCAGTTATAAAATGCAGCTTTGTTGTATAAGTATGGCTAAAAAGGAACAAGAATCATTTCTTCTTTTAGATATAAAAATTTCATAGACTGTCTTCTTTAAAATATTTTTCAATCAACGATATTTAGTCTTCATAAGATATTTCATTTAATTGCTCGCTAATGTTCTTCTGAATGTTTGATATATATTTTCAAATTGCTTTAAGTTGGGAAAGAGAAGCAGTTGCATGGTGCTGGATTTGGTCTAATTTTGTAAACTCATTTTTTTTTATATATATATTAAAAACACTGATTGTTAATGAAGAATGACATGACACATTGTTGTGATGCAGAAACCATTTGTCTGGCCATAATTTGGACTGTTTCTTTCAAATTATTTTTTCCAATATTCTTCTTTTACATTTAAATTGGTTATTGTGGATATCTTATCACTATGAACCATATATGCTAGACTTGTGGTTTTGTCATTACACACTTTTCATAATATTTCTGAAAATGCCATTAAAATTCTTTGCTCTTAATTTTGATCACTCGCTGTTTTGCCAAAGGGTTACAACAATGACTCCTTCCGAGATGTGATTGCAATGAAACAAAGATCTATAGCAGAAGAAATAATTTACAACACAATATAAAAATTGTTGACATATACAATAGTAAGAGGACAGTAGGTAACTATTCTTATTTTTTGCAGCCATATCTTGTATTTTACAAAAAATTAGGTTTTGTGAAATATGAATTTTCATTCAAACTTTCATTCTGTAACCTAAATTCTGTAATAGCAAATTTAATATTACTTATTAAGATATTTTTAACATGGAGAAATATAATAAATGCTATATGCAGAAAAATAAGAAGAAAAGAAAACAATACTTTATCCATTTATGGAATGAATCAGTATTTGTTATGCTAAATCTAAGCTAATGTAGAGTTGCAAACTTTTTTATAATTTCTAGTTTTCCAAATAAAAATACAGTATAGATCTAGATAGGAAGACAAACTAGCCTTTCCATTCTTGATTTACAGTGAACTTGCATTAATATGAATTGCTAGGTGAACAGTAGTTAGTTTGTTTTATCAAAAACTCATATTAATGATTTTCAGAGTTAAGGTTGTATAATTTATGGAATTAAGAATTAATAGGCGATTGAAACCTCTAAATTATAATATTTTGAATTAACTAAACAAAGTTAAATAAAATAAATTTATTTGCAAAAATAAATTAATGATCTAAATGATTTTTGAAGTCAAAAGAATGAGGAGGAGCAATAGATAAGAGTAATTAAACAAAATAAAGATAAAAGAAATCTGTGATTTTTTTTTCTCTGTTGAAGATTTAAAAAGAAAATATTTTTGGAGCCAAATTTGGTGCAAAGTAGCTAAACCTAGTATCACTATATGCTCTCCCAATATACAAACTAGCACATGTTTGCATGGGATCACATCCATTTAAAGGGGGTTGACATCCTTAAACATTAATCCCTATTTTCTGAGTACAATACAATGGTCCACTAATGTTTGAATTTCTCTACAATCAGAGGTTGAACCCTTCTTTACTTATTAGGAGAAGAAAATTATTCTACTCAAAATAGAACATTTATTACAGTACCAATTTTCTTTTTATGCTTTTTCACATGAAAATCATTAATGGAAATAGGGTTATTTTTGAGGGTGTGAGGCAATTTACAGTTTGGTTTAATCAGTTCTGGTAAAATTTTTGTTTGCTTTATCATGTGAAAATTAACATTGTGACAATGGTGTTTTGCCAGGACAATGGCAAAATTTACTTTAATGCAAGAATTTGCTTTATTGATGTTTGTTTAAGGGGAATCAACTGTATTGTTAGGTAATGTTTGAAAAAATTAGATCAAGTTTTCAAATGCAATGTTTTCTGTTATAATTTCAATGTAACTTTATAAAAAGACTATTTTTATAAAATCTAGTACAATCCTGATCTTTCTGACAGCTACATTATATGTGAATAGGATATGGTGAAACTCTTTCAAGTCAAATCTGTGAAATAATGAAAATATTTCTTAAAAAATTGGTCCTATGTAATAGGTATAATGAAGACAAAATGAATGATTAAAATTATGAAAGTTTTTCAAACAAGCCTATTGCCATCTGAGATGATAACTGATAGCATTTTTAGAGAACTCTTTTCATGAAAATACAATAGCTGTATTATGATCTTTGATTCTCTAATGTAATTTTTTGATATACTATACCAGTGGCGTGCCATGACATTTGATGATAGGGAAGCTGTGTTTCTGTAAGAAGCTGACTTCCAGGGACAATCAGTTAATTGCGTGTCATTGATGGTCTAGGGTCCATTCATATTCATTTGTTCGATAAGCCAGTAAAAACCGTAGACTTCTCTAAATGTATTTTTAATATCACAATTACTTTCTGAATCGCTAGCCACGATATAAGGACTACAATTAAAAATAAAATGAAAACTTACTTGGTGAAATAAAATGTATGGTGGATGTATTGTACAGTACATACCTGGTACAAAATATTCTTTAATTGTATGAATATACTTTTAAAGAAAATTATAATTAAATATAGCTTTGTAAAGAAATGCACATAAAAATAACATAAAATATTCTTTACTTTTTAAATCTTAAAACAATTCACTTAGTCAAATAGCTCCCAATGAGTGGCTAATGGATGGAATCAGAGACAGTCCTGGTAGGTGCGTGCACGCGAGCTGCCAAATCCCAAGGGTGCCAATACTGGTCAATGTCAAATGCCTCTTTGTGGCATCACTAGTATACCTCAAAGGATGCGGCAGGGTGGCTGTAAATTATAAACATTTCTCACCATAGCTGTAAAAATCTAAATATGTTAAATTTAATAGATTGTTCATCATTTGTTTTCTAATTCTTTTTAAGACCAGGTGTTCACGGAAATTTCCAAAATATACAACTTTTCAGTCCCTCTCATTGAACTGGAAAAATTTCTGTCTTTATTATCTAATATTATGAAGAAATCAGTCCCCACTGTATTCAGCTAGAGATTGGTTCGGTTAAGCTTTTGTTTAAGTAAAATTCCGGCTCTTTCAGCAGGGTTATTTTATGTCCCTAATTCCCTAAACTATTTCTTAAGTAGAAATAAGTCAAAACCAGTTACTTTGTACTTGAATACAGTGGAACCCCGGTTAACGAACATCCTGGTTAATGACCAAATCGGTTAACAAACTTTTATTTTGCAAAAATTTTGTCTCGGATAACGAATGTAACGGTATTTTGTGTCAAATTTTAGTTGGTGTTAGGCATGCACGANATGTTCTTCTGAATGTTTGATATATATTTTCAAATTGCTTTAAGTTGGGAAAGAGAAGCAGTTGCATGGTGCTGGATTTGGTCTAATTTTGTAAACTCATTTTTTTTTATATATATATTAAAAACACTGATTGTTAATGAAGAATGACATGACACATTGTTGTGATGCAGAAACCATTTGTCTGGCCATAATTTGGACTGTTTCTTTCAAATTATTTTTTCCAATATTCTTCTTTTACATTTAAATTGGTTATTGTGGATATCTTATCACTATGAACCATATATGCTAGACTTGTGGTTTTGTCATTACACACTTTTCATAATATTTCTGAAAATGCCATTAAAATTCTTTGCTCTTAATTTTGATCACTCGCTGTTTTGCCAAAGGGTTACAACAATGACTCCTTCCGAGATGTGATTGCAATGAAACAAAGATCTATAGCAGAAGAAATAATTTACAACACAATATAAAAATTGTTGACATATACAATAGTAAGAGGACAGTAGGTAACTATTCTTATTTTTTG